GGGCACATATGCATTAGAAGTAGAACATAAATAGTTATTTATAAAGGAAGCAGTATCATTTTGTATGTTCTTTACTTCTAATATGGTATTATTTTTGTCATGAGTCAAATTAGCAATATTCAATTTTAAATTATTATTTTTCAAATTTAACATATCATTGTTTTCTTGAAGAGCAATACTTTCTTGAGAAATGATATCAAATTTGGAAGCTAACTTCTCATGATCGAATTTTAAATCTTCATGCTTGCTTTGCAAATCAATAAAATTTTTATGCAATATGTTATAGGCATGTAATAATTTTTCACTAGCACAAGCAAGTTCATCACTAGATAAATTATTAGTGGATTCGAACTCGCAAACCTCACTAGGGCTATCGCCTAGTGCGCGTGTGCATGATGCTCCATATGAGCTTAAAGTCGGATCCTCCAAAGTTTGTCGGATCGCCTCCAAATCCCCTTGATGTGCTTCAATAAATTTTCATAAAGTGTAAGTACTATCAAAATGAACAAATTTGTTAGGCATAGATGAATCAAGAGCATTTATCAAATATTCTAACAAAATATTATTCATTGTAAACATACGATGATCATTTTTATTCCACTTGGATTTCTCCGTAGTGAGCACAATATAAGCATCATCTATAATTTTCCATAAATCAAAGTATTTAGATTGAACAAAAAGTTTAAATCTAACACACCATTAGGCATAGGGGAAATTATCTAATCTAGGAGCAATATTGATGGCATTACCTAAACAAGATGCATCGTTCATATCCATAATGTATATATGCAAGCAAGATACAAAAATCAAAAATTAGATTAGCACAAAAAGATAACTTGGATCTTTAACTCAAGGCGATTAGACCTTAAATCAAAGAGCACCAAGCTTTGATACCAATTGTTAGACCCTAAGGTCGTTATGAAAGAACCCTAGAGGGGGGGGTGAATAGGGTTTATGCTAATCTAATCCGATTTAAATACCAATTAAAACTTACTAATAAATATCCTAGCAAGTAACAAGATAACTATGCAAGGATATGAAACAAACACAAGGAGAAACAAGTTAAACTAGATAGTGGATAAAATAAACAATAAGCAATTGACAAAGGCAATATGAAAGATAAGCACGAATATAAAAGTGCGCCAATGCAATCACAAACAAAACAATATGTTCACGAGGTTCGGTCCCCACAACCTACGTCCCCACTCCTCACCTCGAGGAGATCTCCACTATCACGACACACCCGGGTTGGAAGCCGGAACTTCTCTACACACTCGGTTTTTTAGCTAACCGAAAACTCTACACACTCGGTTATCAAGTCAACCGACAACTCTCACAAATCCTCACAATGTACATACACTAGCAACAACCTCAAGTGTTGGTCCTTATGTATCGCCTCCCTCAAGTGCTCGGAATTACCACCTCTCACTAGGCTACCGATGCCACTCCTCTCGGTATCGACTACGTCCTCACCACACACTCCTCTCGGTGTACAAGTGTATTACAAAGTGAACTTCATAATTAAGCACAATACAAAGAATGATTGTTCTCTAATATGGATGAGAACACAATAAAAGCTTACACTCAAATGTTATAACTCTCACCAACCCAAATATACTATGTATGAAAATACGATAAGCTTAAGTGGGTGTGTAAACAACGAGTGAATCAAATCAACTAAACTCAAATGTAAAACTAGCTTTAAATAAGATGATAATCAAGCAAATAGATATAAATCTAGAAAAGAGTTTAGGGAAACTTCTCAATAGATGACAAGAGATGGAAGGAGAATAGTTGGATGCCCAAACACCAATAGATAATCTCTTCAAGCTCTTGTGAAATTGATTTCACAAACTCAAACTTCCAAATGCTTAAAAGCTTCTTAAACACACTTAAACCAAACTAAAACCCTTGTTAAAACTCTTTTAAACTTGGTTAAGAAACTCTCTTGGTTGTTACTGAAAGAGGAGAGCAATGGGGTATTTATAGTCTCTCAAAACATCAGTAAAACCCAATAGAAAAGACTAAAAAACCATCAGAAAACAGCTAGAAAAAATAGCCGTTGGAACTGAAAAGACAGAGCGACGGTCGACCGCGAGCAACAAAGAAACATAAAAAGGCTCTAGACAAGCGACGGTCAACCATGGCGGTCGACCGCGAAAGTGGGCGAGGGGGGGCTGGGGGGGGGGGGGGGGGGGGGGGGGGGGGGGGGGGGGGAGCCATAAAAACATATAATGAGTTTCTGAACTCATGGCGGTCGACCGTGGCGGTCGACCGCGAACTAATACATGCTAAAACAGGTTTTGAAAGCGGAAATACTGATTTTAAAACCCTGTTTAAAAATATGAAATAAATTCCAAAAATATAAAACTTTGGAGAATGATTATAGACATGATAATAAACATGCTACAACGACTGGTTTCCAAAAAGGAATTCCCAAATAAAAATATCATTATTTTACAAAATAGGCAAAAACACGAAAATGTAGGCATATGAATTTTAACATTTAGGCTAAACCATGTTTTGAAACTTTACAAAATAATTTTATAGACTTGAAGAAAGATGTAAACTATTGTTATGAAGTTTATAAACAATGAATGTAGTATTTTATCAAAATACACATATAATGCACTAAAACATGATTTTATTGAACTAAATAAAATTAATATTGATGAAATCATATATATGCATATAAGTATGAAACAAAAATATGTTTTCTAATTATATTAAATTGTTTCATATTAAAACTTGAAAACTATCAAACCAAAACATATATGTATATATATAACTATATATATACAAAATTAAAACGTGTATGTGTGTATATGATTGAGCTTAAAGTACTAACACACATAATATAAAACATAAACTAAATTACCCAAGCTTGATCGTAATCTTCAATAGCTTAACTTGGTAATCTTGTGGATGAAGATTGAACTTGGATCTTGAACTTGAATTGCATTGCTTCACTCCACAATTCCGCCAACCTCCATTGGATATGATCGTTGAAGTGCTATTCCATCCATCCTCCAACATATTGTTTGCCTAGAATAAATATAAAACACAAACACTAGACAAACAATATTAGATGTAAATTGTTTGTAAATCATCATCAAAACAAGAAGGCCAACAGAGTCGACTCATATATGCACATGAGTCGACTCATCGACGGTTTCTTGGTTCGTTTGGGTTTCTGTTTGCACAAATTCCTATGTGGTTTGGACTTGGTTATTTACCACTTTGTCATCCACGTTGTTACACCTATATAAGGGATTGTTTTAGGGTTTTAAAAAAGGAGAGAAAGCAATCAAGAGAGATTAGATTGTATTTGAGAATTGAGAGAGATTGTTCTTCAATTCTAGTGAGATTTGAGAATTGAGAGAGATTGTTCTTCAATTCTAGTGAGATTGTGAGAGATTGTAAACTATTTTATTCTCATAATAGTGAGATTGTGAGAGATTGTAAACTATTTTATTCTCATAATCTAGAGAAGGTATTTTCCTTCGCCACTACTAAATTGTTCTTGTGTTCTTGTTATTTTCTTCTAAACCCACCTTTGATAATTCTGCAATCAAATGTGCTCGCACGGCGACTCGTATCACATTCAATCCACTATACCGCAGCTACAAAACTCAGCATGAGCGATTTGAGTGTTACACTAGGTTTGGTGGTGCATTGCCTGAGGATTGTGCGCCTCAATTTACATGCGCAGCAGACTTCTCGAAGTCAATGTATTAAATTAGATGTGATAAGACTTTTGACAAAGGGTCAAATCGTTTCAATGGTCTTTCATCTTCTGTACGACCCGCAGAGTTTGAGATTCGCGAAGTTAGTCTATGCTTATTTTCATATTGTTCGCCAATGTATATATCAGTGTTATGTCCATGTAGAGTTTTAGGTCTGAGCTAAATTATGTTCCGCCATGTTATGTCTTCCCATACTTTAGATTTTGGTTTCTTCTTTCTTTTAGCCCACTTCTTAAGCTTTGTTAAGTTTGTGTAATATGACCCAAGTATCTCTGGCGGCTCATCTTCATGTATAACTCATCTTTGTTAAACAATCTGTAATTTTTGACCGGCTACATTGATACACACCATTAATCCACTAGATAGAGAATATTAATTCTCACTTTATCTTAAAATCCTTGTCATTGCACCCAAACTTTAAAGTTATGGTGAGAATTATAGTTATTTATTCTAATATCTTCAGCATAACCTAGGTCAACAATACTTTGTAAAGCTCTTTTAAGCTCCAGATAAACGGGAATAAGGATGGTTATCGGCCGAGCTAGTCAAAATTATATCTAATTTTTTTAAACTCTTTTTTTAAACAAAAATTGTATAAAACATCCATGTAAGGGTGGGGCCCATAGAATTTAGGACGGTGAGGCCCATAGAATTTAGGACCTCGGGAGCCGACAGCAGCATCAAGCTTTAAGCTCGCTGTTTTACTTGCCAATGGGCCAAATGACCTAGAAGTCAAAGGCCTTTGGCTTTGCTGGCAGCAAGCTAGCTATTAGTTGGTCTGCTACTAGCAGGTTGTAGGCCCAAAGGGCCAAAGGCAGCTTGCCCAAAAAAAAATGTCGGGCTCGGTTAGG